GTTGACTTATCATTTCGCGTATAAAAAACTGACATATTTTAGGCATGACATCTATGCCATATAGCATATGAAATGCCTAAAATTCAGAACTCTTTAGAAAATGAATACGTTTACAACAGGAACAATAACAAAAGTGCATACATTACCTTGTCACAAGTTTATGATGTTGACCCCGCTGTCTTAATTTTATGAATTGTTGAATTCAATCGCTTATTGCAGCAACAAATATTAAATTATTTTTCGAAATTCTTTATGTGTGTATAGACGTAATTGCAGCATGTCATTCAATAAAAGCTTCCAAATCATTCAGTGATATCACTTTGTACAATTGTCGTGCTCTCGTCCTATCACAATTATGTGAACAGTTCAATATTCCAATCGTTCAACCGTTTCGTTTGATGGATTGTAGTTTCTACTAGAGTACGTGCATTAGAAACAACTCAAAAATTTGAGATTTTTTGCCGATTCTTATTAAAATTATTGCCATATCAAAGTTACAACATATTTATAGCCTATGATACTTTTTACTAGAACTCTTTTTTCATACAGTCTTTTGAAAACACTTATACATAATTTAAATTTGAAAGAATCTATTCTAAAAATAACACTTTCCATTATTATTTTTTATTCTCTTAAAATTTTTTTATATTTTTTTATTTTTTTCAAATTTTTATCCGAAATAAATTTTTAATATATTTTATTTATTTAAAATATTTACAATTTATCTATATCTAATATAAAAATCCGGTAGGAATATATAGAGTATAATATAAGAGTAAAAAAAGGACAAAATTTTACTTATATATAAAAATTTTTATTTAGTTTCGAAAATCTCTCAGTATAGTAGTAGAACATCTCTTTACTTTATTTGTCTACCAAAATAAATAAAAAAAAGAAAAAAATTATAAATCAAAGATCGAAAATGAATAATGCCACATAATACTTAGGTATACAAGTATACACTTACATAACACAAGTGAATATCCTGAAGGATAAATAAAACCACATCAAAAACAAAACAAAAATGGAATTCTTTTTTTTTTTTTCAATTTTTAATGCCATTCCAATTGAATTGTATGTGTTTATATACAAACATTATATTTGTAGAGCAATTGAAAGAATGTAAAGGTAAATAAATATACAAATATTTTGTACAGATCATTACACAATTTTTAAGAAGTTTTTATAAACTCTTATACAAATCATCAGTCCTATCACAATCACTCTATAATAATATACTTTCATTCACATTCAATGTATCGGGTTGTTCAATTGAAAATTTTCTTAATTACTTATTTTATATAGATTTTGTCGGAAATTTTAAGGCATGACGTAGTTAAATGTGGCCGACATCATAGGTTTAGTGGCTAATGTTGATTCCACGAAATGACAGATCAAATCCAGTCTATTCTACTGTTTTTGTAACTTCTTTTTTAATTAGATTAAACAAAAATTTATATTTATACACATTTAGGAAGCACAGCACGGTCAAGCGAAGATTTTATGTCATAACGAATTCGAGCAAGTTTAGAAGTTCAATGAAAGGTATTTCCGGAATTGTGAGTATATAAAATTTCCTGTTGTTTTGCCAGGTCGAATCAATTGGATCTTCGGTGCTTTTCTAACTGACTTTAAATCCATTTTTTCCTACAACACGTTGTGCTGTAAACCATTGGATTCTTATGTTGTAATGAAATCGAAGAACTTGAGAGTTTCGATGATCTTCAACTTCGTAATTTTGACTATATAACTGTTTCCCCTCATGTTTTTAGATTATTATCGATCAAAGTTTTGTACTCACCCAGTATTTGTACTATAAATTCTCCTTAAACTTCAAAATTAGTGAATCTTCTAAGAAAACAAAATTTTACAAAAGAGCTGTGATAGCTATAGTGTTCGATCACAAAAATTACAGTATAATATGAAAATACTCGTGAGAATTTTTTGTCCATCCACGTAATTTTCTTGGAACATTTTTGATGGTTGTGAACCAGAAGACATTTGCCCTGTCGAAGTACTGGCAAATTTATTCAGTGATCTAACCGTAACAACTACCAATACTGTCTCTTTCTCTCGTAAACACTATCACTCTCATTGAGTTAGATTTTGTTTACCTTTTCATACCAATAAATTTACAGTGGGTTTATGTCTAAGGTAACCCAGCCGCCTTTTGTCCAATTTGAGTAATCTTTTATATTATTTTTCTAATATTGCAAAATTCTTTAAAAGGTTTGCTGATTTATCATTTGAAAAAATTAATAATAGAGAAATAAAATGTTTTCTTTTTTTTTTTTTGTGTTTTCTCTCATTTTCTATCGAAAATAGAATCGAAAGTACATTATAAAAAAAAAAAAATTTTTTTTTTTTGTAAATACTACAAGAACAGAGATATTTTCTTGCTTGAAAAGTTTTGTTTCTATTGTTACCAATCACAGAATAATAAAGAAAAGCAACAAAAAACAAAAATATCCTTTCCAAATATTGAGTGGGTATGAGTTAAATAAATACTTTAATTTTACTATTCGTTGGATTTATACTAAATTCCATAAAATGTATTAAAAGATTTCGAATATAACATTATATTTGAAAAATTTCAATGAATATATGGAAACTTTGAAATCAATCAATTTTAGTATGAAAACTTGTAAGCCCTTTTCTTATCATCGCCGTAATAAAATTTCTTACAATTTTTGAATTCACTTATGATATTATAGAAATAGTTACCAAAATCTCTCTAAATAAAAAGCAGTCTTTAAATTATAAGCTGGAATTTCTTTCAGAATTGCGATTAATAGAACAATAAATTGTAAAATTGCATCAACAAAAAATCTCTACCGAATCTTAACCAATTTTGATTCTGAGCTTAATTTTCTTGACTTTCATTTATAGATTTCTACAATTAATATTCATTACAATTAATAATCCAACATTGGTGTAAACCAACCTTAAAAATTTAAACTCAATCGAGCAATATTTCATCTCATAACAAATTGTAGACATCCTTAACATCTAAGAAGCCCAACAAAGAATAACAAAAAGAAAATAATAAATGTTTTCCTACAGGGTGGTCAATCAACCATTCACTCATATTATTATTATTGCTTCCCTTATTGCACATCCTCAAAATAATATTTTTAAACGCACATTAAGCAAAATAGTACTTGCATACTACAATTTTCACATTGTGAAAAGAGGGAAAACTAAGAAGAAAAAGGAAAGTAAAATATGTTACGTGTCAATGATAAAATGTTAGTTGTTAAGATGAGTTAAAAAGGAAAAGTAAAGGCAATAATAAGAAAAATAATGGTAAATTTTGGAGAATTTTTTTAAATAGAAAAATCCAAAAAAGGATGAAAATATTTTATTGTATTTGATTTCCTTTTTCTTGTTTTATCAACAAAATTATCCGTAGTCTGCCTCACATTCCCACAATACCTTTCTTATCATTTTATTTGTGTATAGTCATTATCACTATCACACCTATTCCAATTGATTATTTTTATTGTTCAAGTGTGTATATACAAAACATATTTACAGAAAAAGGAGTTTCCAATGTATATTCCTTGATTTTATCCAACTTTATTTTTGTTTAGGTAAATATAGTACCACATCATCATAAAATCAGAATTACTTGGATAAGGAGAAAAATCGATCACATAATGAATCTATTGGGAACTTGTATTTTAAATGAGTTAATACGATCTTCAGGAACAAATAAATTGCATAATGGATGACATATTCTAAACAAAATAATTATTTTTCAAGCCAATAATATAAAGGTATCTAAGATTATGCAAGATTCTCTCAATGATAAATCAATTTTTGAAGGTTCAGTTTCTTTTAGTTTGATTAGTAAATGAATTTTAATAGTTTTAACCAATCAAACTGACAATTTTAGAAGATACTACTTGTAGAATAGCTACCGCAGCTTATGCCACGGTCTATACCGTTTGAAAATTTGTTATTTATTACGATATTAGAAACTGTTTATTTAGTTGCTGCTATTCAATATATTATTTAGAAACCATAATTAAAATATTTCTTTATATATGTATATAAACCTATACATATATAATTTGTGTTTTGTTCGTCGTTATAACTAATTCTATTGTTAAATTTCCGGGCTTATGCTTGTAAACACATCTAATAATTTTAATAACAATTTCGGCCATGACAATCAGTCTCTTTTTTTTTTCAATTTTCATCTTGAAAATTTTTACAATATTTAAAACAAACATAAATGAAATCTTAAATGACATTTATTCATATACATTTTCTATATGTACAAAACAAACTATTCTTGAAAACATTTTGCCTATTGTTTTAAAAAATATTTTATGGGAAACAGTTTTAAATTGTCACATGTAAAAACACAAAACATTCATATTTGTATATGGGTCTGATTTTAATAGGAAAAAAAAATTTAAAATATACGACAATTAAAATCGCAAAACATAATTAGTTTTCTTATATATACAATAATTACGTAAACGAGGGAAAATACGGTATCATTAAAAGTATTACAGGTTTAAGAATTGTTGAAAATCAAATTGAAATTAAACTAATAGCCATTAACTCTTATAAAAACTATGTTTAGAGCTCCCAACCCCCCCTCTGTTTAGAGCTCCCAAATGAAAAAATTGCCTAATAATAAATTCCATCTGTTTAAAATGCCCACCATTTAGCGAAATCCCGAAATTCTGACCCAAAATTAATAAAATCTTTTTTGAATTGTTTCAGGTGTATTACCCGAAATTGTATAAACAACAAAATAATATCATTGATCGTGGTACGGCTTGCAGATTCAAATTTGTTCAAATTTATTAATTATTCAAACCGGATTCAACTGACTTCAGCACTAGCATTTAAATAAATAATACTGTATGACAAATTTTGATCAAACTAACGAAAATTTCAAGAAATATGAAATATTTTCATATAGATCCGGCCCAAAAAACATTTTACAAACTTTTGAGCTTAAGTGAATTAAATAACATTAATTTATATTGCTTAACTATAATTATTAAAATCATTTATTCCTTTTACTTGAATATGGTAAATCTAATTTATCATCAACTTTTAAATATCCGATACGACTTTGACGACGATTTCTACCATCATTTGATATACAATAACATGGTTTCCATTGTGGTCCTTCATATGTTTTAAAACCACCCGAATAATATGCACGTTCTGTTGTCCATATATTTGTCATTGGTATATAACCAGTCCAACCATTATTATCTCTTCGATTATTAGTGTTATCAGTACGATAACCAACTCTTCCACCACCACTTAATCCACTAACACCACTATGATAATATTCTTGATCATTTGTTAATGAATAACCCGGATAATAATTATTTCTATTCCCATCATTAAAATTTGGTCCACTACTATGATGTCGTTGTGGTGGTTGATCATTATTCCAATGATGATCTTGTTTTGGATCATATGGTCTTCTTGGACGATGTGTTGAACTATCACGACCTTTAAATATTGGAATATCAGCATCATCAGCATCTTAAATAAAATTAAATTTAAAATTTAAAAAATTTATATAAGAGAAGAAAAATAAAAGTACCTTTATCTTTTGGATATGTTGAATTACCAGTGTCACTATCATCTGAAATTTCAAATGTTATATCTGTATGTATTCCAACACGTTTTCCTTTCTTCGGTTCAAGTATTTCAACACTTTCTTTACTACCGGATGAATCTGTTAATTAAATATAGTTTAAAAAATTTTAATTTAACGGCTCAGGAAAACGAAAATCACTAGAAAATTCTGAAGCAGATAACCTAGTAGTTCTGATATATTCAAGAATAATACTTTAATATCAAAATATAATTCGAATACCTGATTTACCATTTGGACCAGTATCAACTGTAACACGTACTCCTTGAATTTTTGGTGATGATGGTTTTCCTTGAATACCACTTGTTCCACTACTACCACTACCTTTTGGATGTTTTGAAGATGGTATATTACTTGGTGTTGATGATTGTTCTTCATCTGAATTTTCTAAATCTAATTTTGGATCAACTTTTCCTTTATCTTGTCTTTCTCCTATAGGTGAATAAGATTCAGGTATTGATATTGACAAAATTTGTTCTCCTAATTACATAACATTATTAATATTTCAATAAAATTATTTTAGTTTTTTGATTTGTCGTGTCAGTATAAGTTTTATAATGTAAATGTTTTAGTGTTTAAGGATTTGTGATTGTAATTTTTACCCTACGTCAATGTAATTTAGCGTTTCTTTTATAGTTATACCGAAACAAACCGGTTTTATTTTAGAAATTGGCAAGAATTGTTGAATTCCCAACTTGATGTTACAACTTGAAAGATTGAAAAACCCAGGTAAAGATAAGACGTTGGCGCTTTTCGCTCATAGTCCAGGAATAATTTTTTGTTTAGATTTTAATATAATTGTTTTACAACTGAATACAAAGCTCCCTATAAAGAGTGTGCAACAGTCAAAATTCTTTTGGAATACGCCGAACTATTCTAAAGCCATCTACTGCAATAAATATGTGCAATCTGCTACCTTCAACTCGATTTCCTATTATCATATTCATTTATACTGGTTTAGGTGCCACGTTAAGTTATACACTCGAATAACCCTATTAAAGAAAATCTAAGTATTGATATTTGAGTTGTTCTTTGTACAGAAATACGTAGCTTTAACTACAACGTGGAAATCGGGAATAGTTTGCAAAATAAAGCAATTTTTTATGTAGAAATTCAAATATTTTTTTAGTCATCTACCGGAATAAATGTGTGTACAAACCCTAATCTCAACTATTCTTTCGTAAGGGCTGGTTCATTTATAGTAGGAGTGTATTACACGTTAGCGTGTTACGTGTCCTTGAATAGAACGCTAAAATCAATCACTTTCTTTTCAAATGTGTACAATATTTTCACTAACTGACTTTCAAAGAAAAATTTCTAATATTTATCACCGATAGATGGCTTCAATATACTATTGTATGTAATTTAAATTTAAATTCGTTGTATTTAAAATTCACATGTTAATTTTTAGATTTGTATAACAGAATAGTCGTTTCATTTATAATTTCATAATCTTTCTGCTAACATAAATAAAATTGTGCTGTTATTTCTTAATGGTCTTAAAATCTCATAAATAATAACACACTATTTTCATATTGCACGTATATTAATTAAAATATCGAAATTGTTATAATAATGTGAGAAAAGTGACATCATAACGGAAATGAATACCGTATGACTATATAAATTAAGTAACTATATCGTAAGTAACATTATGTAGTATGAATACAATATGTAATATAGATAAATGAGTATGTAAGAGGGGTATGTAAATACTTATAATATTATTATGTATGATATTATGTAAATCTACTATGTGTTTTCAATAATTATTAGAAATTTCCCATTTTAAAATATTTTATTAAATTCTAATTTATTTTAATATTACCAATTACACTATTTAAAATCACGAGCATCCATACAAGATTTATAAAATTCACGAATTTCATGATTATTTTCTTAATTTTACTTTTTATAAATTAAAATTTAATTAATTAAAATTTTATTTCAATATTGAACATGTTATATAATATGAAATATTTTCTCTTATTAATTATTAATGAATTTTTTCAAAACTAAACATAATTAAATAATTTTAATACCGCGCACCGCGAATTCTTCCTTATAACTAAATTACGATTTTTTAATTTAAAATTTTTTTAAATAGAATTTTTTTAATATTTAAAAAGCAATAATCGTTAAGATCCGGACTTTATTATCGTTTTAAATCTTAATTTTTTTTTCTTCTTAAAAATTATTAATATTTTTGTTTGTTATTAAAGTTAAAAGATTTTTATGTACTTACATAGATCGCAAATAAGTTTTGTTTATTTTTTTTTTACTTGTTTTTTTACTTGTTACTTGTATATTTAGCAACAGCATTGCATACAACAAGGGAGGAGATGTGATGGCACCAAATTTCATATGTGGAATTTTCAGCTGGAAGAGTAATTGGATTATTTTTAGTGTCTGTCTGTTTCGGTGCAGATCAGTATCTAAAGTTCGGCTGAAATGATTTTCATGCAAATTTATATGTGAATTTTTATCGAAAATTAGACGGTTTGTTCAAATTTTGCGATATATACCAGGTCTCTGGAGTAAGATTTTTACTACTGACCGATTTTACCTTTTCGACTATATTTATATTCTATATTTCCTGAAATTTTATATATAAGCTTAATTTTTCAGTACGAGAAGCCACATAACTTTTAAAAGAAATCAGCTGTCAGCATGTTCATGGTTACTTCGTGCGAAATTTACATTTTTGCACATATAAAGAGAAATAATCATCCGATTTTCTTGAAATTCATTAATTGTAAAACTTTTGAGAAAATCATGGTACGGAAACCTATATCAAGTGAGCAAATTTACATTTTTTAAAATAGCTAAGGTAGAATATTTGAGTTCTGTTTACTATCGGAAATAACTGGCGTATTTCCAGGGAATTCGGATAGAATAAAGTGAAATTCTACTAAAAGTTATATTCACATTTTTCTAGGTCTATTTGAAAAGAGAATTTAAAGGCCATTTTCATAATATTATTAAATCTTTACATAATACCAGGTCGGTTATGTGCTGACCACATCAAATTTTTTTTTATTGCGATTATATTTTTTTGTTTTTGTTTGTTTTTTTTTTATGTTATAAAGCGAGGGAGAAGCTTTTTTTGACTTAAAATATAATTTTAAATCATTTGATTGAAGTTCGAATATAAAAAAAAGGTATAGAGGTATATAAAGGTAAGAAGTAGTTTATGTATGTATACATATCTATAGATTGGGAGATTATTTAAAATAATCGATTCTTATAATACACAGGTAGTTCAAATTATAATGAATATTTTAAAGTTTAGATGAATTAGATTGAGAAAAGAATGGGAAAAATTTTAATTATCAATTTCAGATTGGTAATAATTCCTCTTCGAATAGTTTAATTTCATTTTATAGAAGAATATTAGCACAAATAAGTGATTAAGATCATTTAATTTCACTTTAATTTTGAATTAATTAAAAATATAATTGGAAAATAATATTTAATCGCAATCTACTAAAGAATCTTCACGATGTCTAAATATTGTAAGGAGCATTTAAAATTAATCATGAATAACAAATAATTCATTAAAATTTTTATAATTAAGATCTTAATTTTCAAATTACTAAATTGCACATATAAAATATTCCCTATATATAGATGCACTAAAAGCAGTATCAGTTGAAATAACTATTTTAATTATAATTTTTTTTTAATAAAGTTCTAAAAATGTATTCAACTAGCTCTGCGCTACTAATTATTTCGGCAAATATAAAAAACCTTATAACTTCAATTGTGTAACAAATCAAATCGCATAATCTCTAAGATTTTTATATTTTCAAATTTTATTTGACCGAATTCTTTATCGTGCCATAGCCTTTTTGAGAAATTAAAACTTATTCAGCGCGAGCAGAATTTGCAAAGAAAATAGGAGAGGTATACAGCCAATGCACAGCAAAGAACTTTCTAGTAATATGATCAGAAAAAAGGTGGAAATCTTTACGACTGCCTCAAAAGTTATTCGAGTTTATCAGTTTATAGGGGGAATATTGTAGCGAATGATTCGTAGTAAATCAATTGGGGTCACTATCTATATAAATTATTGCCATTTTAATTCTCAAGTTACAATACTATACACGGAATTTTTTAAAATGCTATTTAAGTAAAATTACAAGAAAATTTCTAATTTAACGTACCAACCCTAGACTAAAATTACAAAATTAAATTTAAGAATAATTCCACTAATAACTATTTTGTAATTGTAATAAATTTTTATTAAATTTAATTTTACATTTACAAAAAAAACGAAAAACAACTTACAAAAAAACTTTAACAATATTTTCATGTCTAGAAACAATAATCGTCCATTTAATTTGTAATTTTTTTTTTCTCATCTTTGATTTTCTAATAGTTTAGAAGGGAAAAAAAAGGCAGCTAATTTTGTTTTTTCTTTTTGCTTTTTTTGCTTTTCTACTACAAGTTAGATTAATTTTCAAATAAGTTTTCATTTAAAATAACAATCATAACTATTATTTAGTTTTTGTACTGTAAAAAATACCGTCAAGTTAGCAAAACGTTAGCAAAAAATACCGTCATTCATACCGTCGCACAGTTCAGGTTGTGTACAAAGTATTCTTAATATACAATGATAATAACCAAAGCAGTAATAAAAATAATCGAAAGTTAATTAATAAAACTCGTGAAAAAAAAGCTTCTTATACCTGAATTTTTCACCTGCGATATTCGTATATACATACAGTTTGACAACATTGAAATTAAGAAATCAACATTGTTAACTGGTCAGAGACTTTTACTAGAGTAGTAATAACAATTTTCAATAAAAAAATGTACAACAAATGCTAAAAGTGAGCTCCATTTGCAGTACGGAGGTATGCAAGGAGGCGCTTTGAAAAAATATTGACAATGGTTGCACACTGTTCGATGATAATTTTATTACATGCGAGTGCTCCCCAACTCCTGGTAAAATTTTATGGCATCATAGACAGGCATTTTTTTTGTAACCAATCGTACTTACAATTTCAACTGTTTTCATACCTGACCTGTGTAATTCTATAATAGTAATGCGTTTGTTATCGCAATTCATTTATATTCAAACAAAAAGTAAAGACACAGTTGACGGGTACTATTTGGGGTAAAATTGCATGACGAATGCGAATAATGAAACCAAATTGAAAAAAAAACCAGAATTATAACGAGAAAAATTAGTATTTCCAAAAGTACGGGAACTTTTCAGACACCCTGTATTTAATTATGTTTCGTGTAATATTAGAAGTATATAGAAAAGATTATACAGATTTTGAAAACTTTCAATTTCTAAAGTCTGTTGTCAGTGTTTGTTATTATTGTTTGCTCTTTATTTGTTTTTTTTTATAAATCTTAAATTTTATTAATTAAATTTATAAGAACATAAAAGCGATCCCGAAATTTATAAGAAAATGAAATAAAAAATCTAATATATATTCTATATACTCTAAATTTTCTATATAAATAGAGTTAAAGAATACGGTGTATAAACATGTATATAGCTTTGACGGGTGTTCCCATATTACATGAAAAGTCTTTGAAGTTTAATAGTGACAAAATACATTTTGATTAATGATTGTGTTCAGACTTAACTTCAATTTATAAGAGAATTAAGAAACAATTAATGGTAAAAATTATTTGATCTTATATTCTAATATTTTCAGTGGTTATCTAAATGGGTTGTCAGACAGTTCAATGGGTTGTCAAAAGAATAATGTTCATAATGAGAACTGGAATATTGTTATATTAATATGAAGAGCAGTATATAGGAAATTTATATGGTAATATTATTTATTTTTTACAAATTATTATTTTCAGGTTTTTAAGTTTAATGCTTTTATTACGGTTCCCATAGATTATTCAATGTGAGCTGAAAACAACGTTATCGTTAAATTTTGTCGAGTTTGGAATAGTTCACATTTTCTAGCAGAAAGTTCTTCTGATATTCATGAAAATTTAGCGGACTTTAATAACAAATACCTTAATAAACAAATTTATGCTGCAATATAACTGCCCAGTAACCGCGACAAAAGTGTACCACACAGGGATTAAAATTTTGAGAGACTAAAGCAACCCTATAACCGAGCTAAAACTAAATTTAAAAAAATGATCTGAATTTGTAAAATGTATTTTACCCATAGCTACATTTTCACTTCAAACCCCCACTGCGAAGCATATCAAATCCTTCAATATAGAACAAAAACACATAAAATTATTTTTAATTATTAATTTAGACAAAACTTTTACTATATAAACAAAACACTTAAAATTATATCTTAAATTTTAATGAACACCACACTAAAGTGCTTTCAAAATAAACTTTATGTATGAATGCTGTATGTTGAAACTTTTCCATCTTCATCGACAGTTGTTGTGGCTGCTTTATAACCAGCTTCTTTTCCATTAACATTGACATGTTCTCCTTCAGCTGTTGAAATTAAATTATATTGTTTTGGTTTACCATCACTTCCATACTGAAAATACCATAAAAATTGTTTAGTAGTCCAAAAAAAAAATCAAAATTCAATAAAAATTACCTCAGTTCCTGAAGACCATTTTGAACTCTTTTCCCATGATTTACTTTTAAAACCACTTCCACCAGCAGCACCACCACTAACACCACCGCTAACACCACTACCTAGGGCAATATCACTTGATGAACCGAATCCTGAACCAAATTGTGAACTACCAGTTGTTAAACCGCCAACACCAGCCTGTTGTGCTTGTAATCTAGCTAAGCGTTCAGATTCTGACATGTATTGGTGTAAATCGGAATGACCAAATCCAGATGAACCAAAACCATGACTACCGAAGGATGATCCAAATTGACTAGAAAATTCAGAACCTGAGCTACCAAAACCAGTTGAACCCAAAATGCCAGTAGATCCAAAACCTCCACTACCACCACTTGTTAATCGACTACTTTCAAAATGTGAGCTTGATCCACCTAAACCACCAGCTCCGCCAATTATAAGTGGACTGCTACCAAAACTACCACTATTTGCTGAATGTGAATATGATGAATGTGATGATGAACTGCCACCAGCTGGTTGATAAACAATTGGTTGTGCTGCATTGCTTGTTACTTTTTTTGAATAATGGCTGCTAAATTCTGATCCACCAGATGGTGCAACGTATGTTATTTGTGGTTGGGCTTGTTGAATTTTTGAGACGCGTGATTCATGATGATAACTTTCTGAACCACCAGATGGCGCAATTATTGTAGCCAATGTTGGTGTTGCTTTTATTACTTTTTCAGAATGGAAATTATATGATGAGCTGCCACCACCATAACTTGGTGTATATGTAAATGTAGGAACAGCTTGTTGTTCAACTTTACGGCTTTCTTCATGTACATAACTTTCGGAACCTCCAACAGTTGGTTGAACAATTACTTGTGGTTGAACTGACTGAACTATTTTCTTATGAGTAGCATGATGATATGATTCTGATCCACTTGGACTATATTGAATCGGTATTGGTTGTTGTGCTTCGATTTTCTTTTCATAATGTTGTGAAAATTCTGATGTACCTCCAGTTGGTTGAACATAAAATGTGGAAGGTTTAATTATTCTTTGACTGCTATGATGATACGAACTTGATGATCCACCGGAAGATGCTTGTGGAATAACAACTGGTGCTGCTTGTGATGTAATTACTTTTTCACTACGATGATGATAGCTACTTTCAGAACCACCAGATGGTTGAATATAAACTGGTTGTGCTTGCTGTGTTATAACCTTTTGACTTTGATGACTGTAACTACTTTCAGAACCTCCAGATGGTTGAATGAAAACAGGTTGAGCTTGTTGTGTTATTACTTTTTGACTTTGATGACTATAGCTACTTTCAGAGCCACCAGATGGTTGAATGTAGACAGGTTGAGCTTGTTGTGTTATAACTTTTTGGCTTTGATGGCTGTAACTGCTTTCTGAACCGCCTCCAGTTGAAATTGGAATATAAACTGGTTGACTTGTTTGACGACTACTAGATGCTGATTCAAAATGTTCAGATCCTGCTGATGATGATACTGAAATTGGAGCTACTCCATGTGATGATGTATGATGGCTTGCTGATTCAATATCGCTACCACTTGCTCCAGTAATACCAAATGTACCAAGAGCTCCACCAAATTGAGTATCAAAATTTTCAGCTCCTAATTCAATAGTTGTGGCTCTATATATTAAAAAATCTTATGTCAAATTCATTATAATTTCAAAAATATGAAAATATATTACCCTCCTCCGCAAGTTGTTACACAATTACCAGTTCCAACATTTTTTTGAAAATCTACATCTACATTAGAGCCTAAATTTTGTTCCAATTCTTTTTTAGCTTCATCAATAGTTTGTTTGTGTTGTTCAAAGTGACTGCGTTCGTACAATAAATTTAAATGTGTTAGTTAATTTCATGTTATTGTTAATTAAGGCATTATAAATGGAAAATATAAATTTTTAAAATTTTGAAGTAGTTTTCAGCCAATTAAATTTTTATTCTTAATTTGGATTATTCGATAAAATTTTGCAATTTTATATACCAATGTTATTGCCAATTTCAACATCTGTATAATAATAGAATTATATAAGTACTTACATTTGGTTATACCTGTATCCCCGCCTATTAATATTTTGATGGCATTATAATGTTAATAAATACCAACCATTTATTAAAAGATTTTTTTAAATTTTAAAATGATTTTAAAGTAAAAAAATTGAATATTAGTTTGTTAACATAAAATAATTTTTAAAATAAAATCGGCAACACTATTTTGTCTGTATCATTTAATTTTAAAAAAATATTTTTCGTATTTTCAAATACATATTGCATAGCAGCTATTTTCTAATTCTGTAGGTGTTCCAAGTAAACCAATTCGATTTTTGAAACAGTGTTGCGATTTATAGCATAATTTCGTAAATAATAAGCGGTAACACTAATATTATAAGTTAATAAGACAAATTTAATAAGAATAAGGGAGAAAGATTTTTGTTTATTCAGCCCCTATTCGAATTTATATAAGTAGAAATCTATTTTGGAAGGTATTAGAAATTTATATTTTAGTTGAATTAGGAATTATACGGAAAAAATTTAAACTGTTATATTTCTTTATATTCCGTAAAAAATTTATCAATAGTCATTCAAATCTAGTTGTTTAATGATGTACAAAAAAAATGTTGATCGGAAATGGCATGTTTCAAATTGAAAATTACATAAGTGATTTGGATTTCATAGCGATAGAAGAGTGCAATATCTTAATCTAGTATTTGCAATTTAAAGGCAAATTTTAATTAAGTAGTTTCTAAGTTTTAATAATTTTTTAATTTTTTGCTGACTCGTTATACTTCGTTTATTTTTTATATCATACCAGTGTTACCATTACATTTGTATCATAACTTAGCACTATTTGTTTAGTATTTTAATTTACCTATGTTGAGGGTCGGAAACATCTGAAATAAACAAAACAAATTAAATAATATTATTAATATTTTCATCAAACATAATTATTTATAATATGATTAAAATCTAAATCTAATGTCGCATTTAAATTAAAATATTGTGCATCAGAATATTTCCATTTTGTATAATAATTTTAATTAATCACATTTATTTATTAAAACATATTTTTATATCGGATGTACGTAAGCAACATATATATAATAAGTGATTAAAAAAAAAATTTATAAAATAAAAATAAAGAAAAATATTAAAATTTTTTGATAATTCGGCTTTGTATTTTAATAATAATTGTGTTTAAAAGCAAAAATTTAATAAAATTATGTATGTATATACCGTTATCAATAAAATGACTGACATTTCTTAAATAAAATTTCACCTCAATATTGATAAAAATTTGACAGAATTGACCTCCCTTTTCCTATGTTTTTTGTTTTTGTTTTTTTTTTGTTTTTTGTTAATTGTTTTATTTGTATAATCAGTTATGAAATTTCTTATGTAATAATTGAAAGTTAAAAATAGAATTTAATTCATAATCAAGGCAATAAAATATTAAACATTAAATCATTTATAATAAAGAATCAGATTCATGAATGGCGAGGCATAGTATGTTTTTAAGAAGTAGTTGTCCTTCAAGAGGAAGCTTTCCTTTTTAACTGGAATGCTCATAAAAATTTTGTATATCAAAACATTCATACTATCTAATGTTGTTCAGTATTCAGTCTTTATTTTTGTGCAGTGTCGTCTGTTCAAATATTTAGATTTTTAACAGATTTCATGTTAAGGGGCCCAGTATTCCTATTGCACCAACCACTTTTAACTATTTTTAATCAATTAATCACAAAAATTACAAAGTTTCTGTTTTACCAAGACTCAAAAGACAAATTTAAAAAGTAAAATTAAAAGTTAAAGCATGGTTGGTACAAAAGGACCCTGGTTAATTACAATTTTTACAAATTAATTAAAAATAAATCTATGCAGGAGAAATTGAGACGCCAATCAACTATAGGTTGACAATAATTAAACTTAACATAGAAATTATTTTAAACTTTTTCTGTATAATTGTTTTAATACAATTGATACAATTTATTCGAAGCAATTAGGGGGAATATGATAAAACTAAGAGAAGCAGCAATTTTCTTTAAAATTTTTGGAGCATGTAATATTTAAGCTATAGTAGATTTTTACAATGTAATGTCAATATTACATGATAATCAGAAAATCATTGTCACATTACCAAAAAAAAAATTAACCCTTTATTTAAATAATAATTTTAATTTGGTAGCACATTGAATTATTTAAAAGCATTTGGAAGAATCAAATTTTTCATAAATCACACAAATTTTTGTGAAGTTGTAAATCCTCATAACTGTAGTGTATTATATTCATATAAAATGCACAAAAATTGAGATGCACTAGAATGACCACTTGAAAAATTAAAGTAAATTTTATTAAGAAATCAACACAAGAATCTTTTTATGCAATCTCTATATAAGATTAATTTAGCAATTCCATCAATATTTTGAATTTTATAATGCAAAATTTTTAAAAATCAATAATTTTATTATTAAAATCATCACATCACTGCACATTGTATACACAATTTCTATTAATAATTTCATAGACTGCAATTTGACCTCACAATTTTAATTGCAAAAGTTCAATATTAATTAACCTAATTTTAATTAAAATCACAAAGATCATAAAATATTTTCAATTTAAATCACAATTAAATATTCTTTATATTTTCATTGATTATAAAATAAAATAAAGTCTTTAATAAGAACATACCGGCTAGGGTTAATCCTAGACATAACGCTAATACAAATAATAATTTCATTTTATTCTATATAAAATTATTTATTATTTAATATTATTTTTTAATTTTTTTTTATAATATTAACGTTTCAATTTTCCCTTAAGGAAGCAACTTTATGATTTGAATGCGTTCACTAAACTGAACTAAATAAATTTGATTTCAGTAAAATCTAAACTTTATATTTGATTGTAAAATTTTAAAATATACTTATAAATTTTTTCATACTTATTTAAAATTGATAAAAATCGAATATTAAATTAAAAATTAAAAAAAAAAAACAAAAAGAGAAAGAAAATTCAAATTAATTTGTTTCAAAATATGAGAGGGGTTTCATAAGAATATTCTAAGAATTATTTTATTGTAATAAGATTAATAAAATAATAATATTGTTATACGAATTAGATACTTTAATTCTGTAATTAAAAAACTGATTAACTAACAATTTTTAAATTTTTTAGTTTTACCATATCACACCAGGTGAATGTGAGCATTAATATGGGAAACCGATTCTAGAAATTTTAGACACTAGCCTAGCAAATTATACATAAAAGTATAAATTACAAAAAGTATATAATTCTATGGAAATTTGACAAAACCCGATAACCAATTTAATTTGTCCAATTTAAGTTAGTAATAAAAATGAAATGTTAAAGAGTCATACCCTATGAGCTAATTTATTAAATAAAAATATTAAAAGTTGTTGAAGTCATAACCAAATAAACCTTACTAATTAATTTTACGAAGTTACAGAATCCGATATTTACCTTATCGGGGTTTACCAATTTTCTAATATCGGATTTCGGCTAATTTGCATAGAATTATAAAAAAACGCGAGTTTGCTGAAATTTTACATGAAAACAGAATGAGCCAAAGAAATCTAACTGGAGCAACAAAATTATTCTAGAATTTTGAAAGACTACTGCAAAACTTAATGAGTTTTCAAAAATAAGGCAGCCAAAGTTCTTCACTTCTTATGTAATCCACAGAAAATAGACACAAACTTTTAGAGTTAAATAAAAGAAAGTCTAAGTTGATGGTCGGTTCATTTATTAGATAACATATTACTTATTTGTTCGTTATTTCTGAACATTAGATGAAAAGGACTCTTTCTATAGATTGTGTCACAATAAATATGAGTTGGCCGAGCATATTTTTGTTTTTATTTAAATCCATGGACATTACATGCATACATATGTTCCTATTTGCACTTTTGAAAAATTGGGCTACGAAGTAAACATACGATTTTTTGTAAGCAATTGCTTTTAATATATTAAGTTTCATAGTCAATTGTATGTCTCAACAGTTACTTGCGCTACATTTAATTACTTCCAATTTAAAACTGTGCTATAAACATCATTATTACATATTATTTTTTATCATTTATAAAATTAGTTCAATTCACCTTTTTAGGTTTTTATTGGAGTTGTTAACAATTAAAAAACAAAATACTTCCATTTTTGTTTTGATTTACCGGGTTTTTTTTTCATAGAAGTAAAATAAATACACTGAAAGCTCTATTTGATCTAATAACAATAATTATGCCATTATTACACAGAAAGTATTCTACGTTAAAGATGTGTGGGCTATCAACAATCGCATACAGATATCAACACCTTTTGAATTTAATTAGAAAATGCCGGAGCATTTATTTAAATATTTTGCAAATATTTTCAGGCATTATTTTGAAAACAATTGATTAAGTGATTTTTTTTTTGTTGTCTGGATTATAATTTTTATAATTTCTAATTGTATGTTTTTCTTCCAGCATCTGAAAAACTGGAATTGTGACTTGTTGCCTCATTAATTATTCACGATTATTCTACACAAAATAGAATTCTTATTCCAGTCAAATTGATTAAAAGACAAAATGAAATTGAATTGATTGCTAAAATATATAAAAAAAAAATATAAGAATCTTATAATATTTTTAGTCTTTTCCTATATTTTCTTATAATTATATATTGTATAGATGCGATGACCTATATTTGACCTTTCCTTGATTTCATTTCTTACATTTAAATCTATATTACATACATAGCTACAGACATACAAGGTTTTAATATTAATTTGAAATTTTTGTAATTTTCTTTTAAATTAAAAAAAAAAAGTTATTTTTAAAATTTTTTTTCAATTAATGGAAGAGATTAAAAAAAAAATATTAAAGTACAATACTCGTATTAAAATTATTGCAATTTTTTCTATTTTTTGTATTTTTCTTGAACAATAAAAAATAAAGGAATTCCTGGAAAAGGAAAACATACGCAGAACTCAAAATTTTAATAAATTTTTGATAATAAATTTATGAAATCAAAAAAAAAAAACAGAATATTAATTATTGCCCAAGATCAGGTTTAAACTATATTTAAAAATTTTAAGATGATCTCTGGTGGTTGTGGTGGTTTACTCGCAATAAAATTAAACAAGAAAAAAAAATTTCTAAAATTAGTGCAAATTTTCATTATAATTTTTTTCGGTATTTTCGTTAAAGCACTCTAATTTATTGACGTACTTTATTCTACAAGGCTATTTTTTCTAAAAAAAGTTTATTTAACAAAATATTAATTATTACTTTTTACTCATGAATATATGATTAATGCTCAATTCATAAAGCAAAATAAATTCACAGATTCCATTTCAAACATACGGTTACGGATTTGTGTTGTGAAGTTGTTAAACCACAATGACATTGAAGTTTTTTTGTTTTTTAATGTTTAAATTTTAGAATTTAATTACAAATCCGTAACCGTATGTTTGAAATGGAATCTGTGAATTTATTTTGCTTTATGAATTGAGCATTAATCATATATTCATGAGTAAAAAGTAATAATTAATATTTTGTTAAATAAACTTGTAAGCCATCCAAAATATTCTAATTTTATTTGATTTCAAAATACGAGTAAATGATTCACCATCATTTTAAATTCAGATCATTATCAAATGATTTAATTAAAAATAATAAAATAATAAAATTCGGAATAAAAATTATTTTTTTATTATTTAAATTTTTTTAACTCTTGTACTTTTTATTTATAGCACATCAAAATTTTGAGATCCGTCTAAACTGAACTAGTTAAAGATATAATATTATAAATTTAGTGTTGATTGTAACGAAATTTGAATTATTCATCCGCCACTCTATATAAAGTTAAAATTAGAGGTAGGTCGAAACAGATTTTGTATTAATTACTGCGCTTGCTGTGAAAACAGAGCCAATGCGGTGAGTGGTAACAGCGAACGATTTTCGATTATAATCCAGAACAAGAGCTAAATGGAAAAATCAATTGAACAGTATTTTGTATATAATGTCACATATACATGAAAACAAATAATTTAAAAAAAAAATTAATAATGCCGAATTTTGTTTGATTCTGTCATTTAAATATATATATTTTATATGAATTCTGACATTTTCCCGTGACAAATCACTTTTATTCCGTTTTCAACTTTACATAAACGACTAAATATAAGAATAAATCTATACGCCCCAAAGTTTGGCAACTGTTTACATATTAGACTGAAATCACCTGATGTAGTTTATATATATGTTTACGTTATAAAAATGTTAATTAAAATAAAAATCAATTGTTTACAATTGAAAAACTTTCACAAAAAAAAAAAAAAATGCTGCCAATTTTATTTTAAAAAGTCGGACAGTAATGAAATTCAATTTCTATTATTTGATACGAGACAAATACCTGTATTCTGTTAGTCGTATCACTTGAGGTGGTGAGGATATTATTGAAAGAATTTTATTCTTCACTAACAGAATTTCAAATTTTGGAATTGATTTTATTCAAGAAATTATAATATTTTTGAATAACAATCCATCATGTCAAGTGATGCGACTAAAACAGAATATTAGTGAAAATCTGATGTCAAAGATTATTTTCATATTATAGGTATACCACTTTCATCAGAGTCAGATTAAATTTTAGAGTTTGTTGTTTACAATATTTAAACAGTGCCTAATTAGTAGTACCTCCATTTATATTAAAATTTCAAATATAATTCAATTTTTTCCAATATTTGTTCTGCAATTATTATTTTTAAAATAATTTTTTTTTATTACTATACTTAATTAAAAAAAAATTTAATATAATGCCTACCATTCTTCCTATATATTACAGATAAAGCTCCAAGATAATGTTACCAAAAAAAAAGCAAAAAAAGCAAATTAAGTAAATAATCTTGCTAATTTAATCTTCCTACATAAAGTGTTAAAAAAAAACAATATTCTAATTTAGATTAATTTCAATAGAATATTTTTAGATTCTCTATATATATGTACATACTTGAAAATAATAAAATGAAAATGACAAAGGTTAATAAACCCTTTTAAAGGCGATATTTTACATACATAATTTTCTCAAATATTTTGCTTTTCATTTAATATTGCTTTAATTGGACTTACAATAGTGAATAAAATAAATTACAATAAAATTATTGGATGCATTTTAAAATGTATAGAACTATCATAGAACTTTGATCCTTTTTCATTCTCTTTTGCAAAAAAATAAAAAAAAACAATCTAGAATATTCTTGACATATGCGATAAATATTTGACAATGAAATTATTATTAAAAATTTATTTGCAAACAATACATTGAAATTTTTTTAAAAAGAAAATATTGTGATAAATACGGTGTTGTGATTAAATTTTTAATATATTTATTAAATAAAATTATAAAAATATGAAGCTAATACACAGTGCTCCTACACAAACTTCTATAAATAAACTTCTACACGCTTGTTTGCATTTATAAACTATACGAGTATAATGTGCAACACATGTAACTTGATTTCATTGTATAAACGTAATAAATTAACAGACAACAAAAAAATAGATTATTTTGAATGTATAGTTGTAATAAAATGGCAAAAAATTTTCATTGTCAAAAACGGAAGGATGTTAAAATAAAAATTTTTTTTTACTATCAAAAAACCTTGAATGTTTTTTTTTTATATTATGAAAATAAAAGATTATAAATAAAGCTGTTACGCATGTGTATTTAATTTTTTATATAATTAAATTTAATAATAATAATCAAAATATTATTATAAAATAAATCTTAAATAAAATTATATTTAAATATTTGATAAGGTTTCAAGAATTTATTTTGATTTTAATAAAATTAAATTCAAGACTTAATAAAGATGTTAAAGCCATAATATAAAATTATTATTCAAACTTAATTACGTGGATCTACTGGAAACCATTCTATCTACAGTTCTTAATTTGTGTAGATTTTTGAAGTCATCCAACATTTCTGTACACACCCTATAATGCTTTAAAAATTATAAAATTTGATACTGTTGCTCGATAACAGGCAGCATTTTATATTTTTTTTTGGGTAATATATACAAATTTATATTGGTACATATTTTGTTATTATTTTAACTAATAATTGCAAAAAAACTGTAAAATACCTATGTACATACATAATACATATTATGCTTTTTATAAAATCAATCCAAATTTTAAACTAAAGCAGGCGAGCCAGGCTAATGTTAAGCATGTATGTATGTATCTCCAATTCCAAAAATACAAATTGTACCTTATGCAAGAATCTGTGATTCACGAACTCTATTTTTCTGAAAAGTTTGTTAAATTTTTGAACAAGATTCAATAATATGAATAATATTAAATTTTTAAAAAATTAAATCACCTGTGTTTGGATTTTAAAAAATACAAAATAATTCTGAAGCATAAAATTTTCAAACACTTTTAATTAATAAATTCTATATAACATATTATCTGCCATCTATTAGTTAAAAATAAAAAATAAAAACTTTTATATGAAATTTCGTAGTAAAGAATTGAATTTCTAAAGAATGAATTCAATATAACAGTTAAGATTATAAATATATTAACCATTTTCAGTGACATCTCTTAAAGAATTTTTTAATATTGAATTTTTCAAATTTTTAATTTGACATAATAAAAATATTATTCTGTCAGCCGTGTCAGAATCAAAAGTTTTGAAATTTAATTATTTTTGTTATAATTTTTAAAATTTATTGTTATAATTGGTGACATTTATTTCAAATAAAATATTTAATAATAGGTACCTACATAATATATAAATAGTAATTTATTTAAATATTATAAAGCAAGTATGAAAATATTGTAAATAAATATTATAAATATGACATTTATTTTTCAGTTTATCAAAAGAAGAAAATCATTTTCAATACCCGACAAATTTGTGAATAAGGTCTCATATGTACGTACACTTAGTACATGTTAAATAAAATAAACCGGAACTCTGATTTTCTCTTACAAACTAACATTACAAATCGGGCATCCGTAGAATAAACAATGAATAAAGTAGAAAATATTACAGTGTTTTGAAATGCGTTGGAATATTCACAGTTTTGGAGCAATGCTGTGAAAATGTTAACATATGTATACAAAGGGCACGGTTACATCACATAAATGTAATTGTTACAGAGAAAATGCAAATTCTTTTAAGTAATTATTTTTCTAACATAAGTTTGCACTCTATTCTAAAATTAAATTAATAATTTACACTTTGAATTGACCATTTTGTTCCTGAACAAGAAAACGCATAACCCGTAGTTCAATTTCAACAAGTAAAATCATATTCCTATTGAAAATTCAATAAATATTATTAAATATAGAAAATTCTTAGGTATAACAATTTTTTTTTAAATCGCTTGTTTATAGTTAATTTTATTAACTTTTTTTCTTTATTTTCAGCTTAAATACAATTTGTATAGATCACAATGAAACAGAAAATTGTTTAAAAATTTTTAATTTCCTTTTTTTTTGTTTGTTTGTTTGTTAAATCATTTTACAAGATCTTGGTAAGAGTCATTTTAATTTTGTTTTTTTTTTGTCTTTTCTTTCATTTTCAGTAATATAATATCCTGGATATTTGAATTATCCCATAACCATATCTCAGAGTGTTGTTCGTTTTCAAGAAGAATAAAAATTTAAGTATTTTATGTATACAGGAATAATATTATTAAGTATTGTGTGTACGATGTGCAGTAACTTTGCCATTATCATTAATAAGTGTTTGTGAACCACCATGATGTTTTCCATTAACATTTGTTGAATATGCTGATGAACTAATACCAAAATATCCACCATTTCCTCTATGTCCTCTTGTATCAACATTAGGTGAATTCTAAAAATATTTTTAAAATAATTATTTATTTATTACACTGTTATTGCATTCTATATTTTGCTTACAGGATTTGATGGATGAACAAATGTAACATGATGAACACCATTTGGTCCAACTGAAACAGCACCACCAGCATAAGATGCATAACCAGATGGTCTACGATGACGACTACCTGCTCTATTTGCATAATAAGCATTTTGTGCCAATATTGAATTTCTTATTTGATCTTGAACTGCTAAATTATTAGCAAAAACTTGTTGGAAAGGACTATGAAAATAATATGAAGTTCAAATATTATAAATTTTAATGTAAAACATGAGGCAAATTTATTTAAAGCATTTCTGAAATTAATTTCCAGTTCCAACCAATCGAGTACTTAATTTGATAATTAAATAGCTAATAAATAATAATTTTAATAGAAATTTCAGAAAGCATTATATAGATAAATGATTTAAAAGCATAGAAAATTTACTCATCATCCGGTAAAAGAGATGCTTCAGCTTTTGCAAAAGCATCATCAGTTGATTGTGCAAATGTATTAGAAAATGTTTCATCCTCACTATGGTTTAATGCCGAAATTATAGAAATTTAGAAAAAAAGCAAAGATTTTAATATTATAAATTAAAAGTATGTTAAATTATTTATTAATAGATTAAGCTTAAAAATATTGATAAAATTTAATAGCATAGAACAAAATAATTGTAATTATAGCAATATTAAATTATATATATAGTTAAATTTAATATTAAACTAAATAAGCAAATTGATTTAGTAATAAGATCAAATAATGTTCCTCCTTATGGTAGTGTCGAACAAGCTCCAAATAAAGTTTACTTTATCTCCAATATTATTCAGGTTAAAGTTCAGAGAAATTCAACATAAAAAAAAGTTCAAATAATTAAAAAGTTTGAAGTTTAAAAAGAGAGTCGTAGTTACTTGAACTATTTTAACGAGTTAAAAAAAGTTGAGAGTCGTAGAATTGACATTGTTAGTTTTATTTGTTTAAGATCGTCTATAAACGCTCTAATACTCTCAAAATTGTATTAAATTAATATTGTTTATTAGAATTGCCTAAATAATTTTTATGTACGTAGAACTATAGCCAAAATTATAACCACAATTGTATAATCGCAATACTTTTAAGAATAATCCGAACCAAATGATTTAATTTGAGTTAAATATGTTCCAAAATTCATTACTATCTGAATCCAACTACTATAAAGTTTTATGTCACAAAATTAAAATTTTATATTACCAAAATTAATCGTTGTAGTCCTTAAAATGCTTCAAATGTTAAATAACCCAAATACTCTAAAGTTCATTATTGTTAATGCTATACTACTAAAAGAATTTTATATTATTAAAAACCTCTACTACCCATTTACAATACCTTGAAGAAAAAAAAATATTTTTCGTTTTTGAAAACCGAAAGTTTTTAGAACCTCCAAATGGTTCAAAAACAAAATTTAAATTTTATTTTAACCCTTTTCCTAACAATCGCTTACCGAGATTTTTTCTTCAATTTTGAAACTCTACGTACTGGTGCTTGTCTTGATCTAACTGGAAGTAAGCTAATAAAATTTAATTTTAAACAAATTTTCGATAGAAAAAAAATAAAATGAAAAAAAGAAAAACAATTTTTAATTAAAAACCAAATTAACCAAACCTATTGACCGGACATCTTATCTAATCCACAACCCTTATTCATATATGAATTGTAAATGACCCAAAAATATGAAAGCCTGATCAGATTATGTAGAATGCTAATGTAGAATCTTTTATATTCACCCTTCTAACTCTATGACTGACACTCTTTAAATCTACTGAGTTAACAAGAAATGTAGTGTATGAAAGAAAATGTAAAGCTCTCGAAATGAAAGTGAATATAATCGGCAGTAATAGTATCATATTTAGCATATTATTTGAAAGTTTATAGGGGTGTTTAGAAAAGTGGAAAGCCGAAGTGCAATAAATGCGAATACCTGCATATATCACACGCCAATAATTTTACCACTTTCGAAAAGAGTAAAAGAAGAACGCATAGCATAATTCACTCTTTAAAGTAAAAAGTACTCACTGAATGAAATTATACATTTTTGAGGAAATCGAATACGACGAAAGGACATGCTCCCAGGCTACTGCAGCCATTCGCGAACTATTTTAGGCTCCACATACTCACATCTACAACATCCCTCTTCCAAGCATAAAATTGAATGAGAACATGTAAGTGTGTAAGCTCTCATGTTATTATTTACTCAATGTGTGAAAATATTCAAGATTAAGCTTCGGAAACTGAAAAATTTAACCGATATTTTTATATACATATTATTTTAAATAAAAGAAAATTTAATCGATCATACGATATTGCAAAAACAAAAAAATTTATCAAAAGAATGACTTAATTCCAAATTTTTACCATTTTTAAGGAAATTTTTAGGAAATCCAGTTGAGTAAATAAAAAATTTTATTAGACACAAATTTTTCCAATAGATTTTTTCAATAGAATTAAAATTATAATGGAGGTCTCAGGTCTATTCCAAAACATTAAACACAACATTAATTTTTGAATGCTACCCTGTCAAAATTTCAGAATTTCACTAAAAATTATATATTAATTTCGACTTTGTGTATAACATCAAGAGATCAAGATGAATAGTAAAAAATAACACTATGTTTTTTGTAATAAACACAGAAAATTACAAAATTTTCAATTAATTTTAAATTTCATCTTAAAATTTTCATGTTCTTTCGATATTTCTTTTTTAATTATTATAAATTTTTTAAGATTATTAGAACATTAATCTCAAACAAATCCGGGTTCATATATACAATTTCTTTTTCTTTTGTTTTCCATTGTTTTTTTTTAAATTCTTATATCACTAACCAATTTCCATATGCATAAATTATTACAATATTTAAAAAAAAAAACAAAATAAAATATAACAAAATAAATTCAATAAACCTATAAAGCTCATTCCAAACAAAAGATGCTTCTCTCTTTATAATATAAAAAAAAAACAAAAGTTGTTTAAAGCAAAAATGTTTCCTTAAAAAATAATTTAATTTGTTTAAAATTATTCTAAAATGCATTACGTCACATATATACAATAATATTGAATAAAAAATATCTTACTTTTGGTTACCGAATACAAAAGTAAATGGATCAAAACCCCCAACACCAGAGAATGCACCGGCACCAGCGCCGGCTCCAGCATATGCACCACCTCCATAATCATATTGAGGAGCATATCTGTGACTTGAACTGTAAGCTAAAATAAAAATATAATAAAAAAAATAAAATTTTGTAAATATATTTAAATTGATTACAATCATGTACTCGTATATATATGTACATATGTATATAAAAAAATTCAATAATCGTGGAAATATTTTTATGCAAACAATAATAAAATTATAGGAAAATCATGAAAATAAATTAATTTACATTATTAAAATTTAGATAAATGTCTAAGTAAATTAAGTGTGTTCGTGTTAAACCGAGTGAAAATGTGCAACGACTTACTTAGAAAGCCCAAATACATTTTGATGTTATATATCATATTAATAAACATAACGGAGAGGTAACCAGAGAAACAGAGAAAGAGGAGAGAGAAAATAACGTGCGTTTCAGTGAACGTTTAATGAAACAATATTCACTTTTGGGTTTTTTACTCAATTTCCCTAAAAATTTTTTTTCTTTATTTCTTTGAGTAAACTTGTCCACTTAAACTCTTTTCGTAATCTTGTTCTATTTGCGATTGTCGAATAATTTCTGAACAATTAAAAATCCCTTGTTAATCTTTTTTGGCATTATATTACATACGCTATAATGCTACGAACATTCCTAAAACTATATCTAAATTATATCTGTTATACACATTTTTCAAAAGTAAAATATGTGGGTAATTTACAAGTGCCAATGCTTAAAGATTTGCTTCATGAGTAATTTAATTAATGTCCTGATTCATTTTTGGCATTCTTGGAGCTACCTGCGGTTGAATCCAAATTAAGTAATCAATGTGGGTGTAATTAAATTAAAACATAAAACCATACAGTAACAAGTTCCAATTAAAATTTTTAAACAGATTGAAATTAAATGTTTTTTATAATTGCACCAACTATAGAATTCGAAATGTATATAGCGCTAGAAATACATACCTGAATTGGCCGAATTGAATGCCATCATACAAATCAAACTCAATACAAGAATGTTAAACATCTAAAAGTAAAAAAAAAATATTTTTAATTAATTAAATATATATAAGACCATAATCGTTAAATTTATTGATCTACATGAATATTTTTGATGAGTTCTTCTTATAATAATGTCGGGCGAAGTCTTTTAAATTAAATTCAAACTGTGATCTCATTTTAAAAATTTATTTTATAAAATAGATATTAAAAGTTCGAATTTCAAATTTTTTTTTGCCAATAAAAATTCTAAAATCGTTGCCTATAATAAAAAAATTCAAAGTTTCACTTTAAATTTCGTTTCCGAAAATATAATGAAAAAGTTCTAATTAAATTAATTTGCAAATTAGATTAAGACGTCAATAATTTTTTGAGAAAATTTCTGTAATAAATTATTTTTTTTGGTAATTTTACTTTTATGATAAAAAAAAATATCAAATTTCGCATATATTTCACATTTATTGTCTGGGATAACTTTAATTTATTATTTTAAATTTAGAATATTGTAATAAAGTTTTAAATATTTGAAAATTATTATTTGATCATATATTTTCAGAAAAGCAATGCTTTCCAGTACAACAAACACATTAATTGACTTGAGTTTAAAAATTTCCCAGAAATATCAACTCAAAGTAAATTTTATTTTAATGTAAGATTCTCTTCAAAAGCTCAATTAGGGTAAGATAGGACAAGACTCCGAAAACCGCACCACATAAATGAATTTAAAATTTGAAGACTTTTAAAATACTAAACATAAATTTTCCCCAACAAATATGAGTAATAAATTGATTCTAAATTTTTGTAAAAAGACCCTTCTTACAGTCTTTTTTTCTGATTAATGGCAGGTTTGGGTAGACAGTGTTCTATTTTCTTTTTACTCAAAAAACATAAACAGTCACTTTTTTTTGGAATACTGCTTAAATATTCAATCAGTCATACTAGTGTTTTAAATTAAGAAGAACATAACACACGAAATATAAAACCTAAAACATTTGAAATATGTTAAGAGACAAAAAATTCACTTGCAAATTAATATAAAATTTACAAAATCAAAATTAAAACACCAAAACCAGGTTAAGAAAATGAACAAAAAAACTCATTTATTAAACAATAAATTAATTTTTTGTCAGAATTTTTTTGCGAATTTACAAAAGTAGATAACAGCATAAGTATAATATACTAAATTCGTACTTTATTTACTCTACTTATAGGAAAACAAAATGGATTTAGAATCGTTTTCAACATTTAAATATTATATGCCATCAATATCCGAAATGATCCTCATAAACGGCATATACATACGTCATTTGTACATTCGACCTATATAGAACATTCCCGAAAAATTCGTATCCTAAAATAAAAATCTCCAATTTCTTTCACATATGAATAAAATTTAAGGCTTTAGCAGCAATAAATGTATTTGATTTATCGACTTTAATTCTCGCACAGAAAATTAATAATTCGAATTTAAATAAGATGACTAATAAAATTTGAAAACCATGACTAAATTAATAAATTCACAATAGACAATAAATTTAAACTTATATTAAAATATTCATATGAATAAATAATAATTCACGTTTATTATTAATATTTAATAATAAAAATTTTTACAAAATAAATATTGTCATTCCTTCACTCACAACCACTTTGGACTTTTACTTAAATTTTCCATTTTTTTTTATTTTAATTTAAAATAATTTCTACCTTTTTTAAAATTATATAAATTTTGTACAGCATAATTAAATATTTTTGTAATTAATTTTTACAAAAAAAGTATTTCAAAAAATTTTTTTCAATTTTATATTAAAATAAAATTTTAAATTTTATTTATTAAAATAATTTTATTTTTATATTTTATAAATCACTTCCTTTTCTTAATTTCAAAATAATAATGAATTGTAATTGATTTTAAATTAGTAAATAAATAGTAAATTATTATTTGTGATTGTATTAGAATAATATTGATTATTATATTTAAATACACTTAGAATAAATTTAATTTAATTTAAATATTAAATAATAATAATCATAATAATAGTATACTCAGTAATCAAGATCAAGCTCAAGCTTATTAATATACATATTATTTATAATAATGAACGAAAAAAAAATCTTTATTTTGTCTTTAAAATAAACGAATAATAAATTATGAATGGCCTTGCTCATTATCTATAAAAATTGTTGTTTACTTATATAAAAAAAATTCTCTAAAGAGACTACTGCTTTTTTTTTCTCTTTTTGATATTTTTTTATTTCCATAATAATCATCTATTTAAATTAAATATTTAAAATTAATTTATTTTGTATTATATATTTTAAATTGAAGTACTCGTAAAATATAGATTAAATTCTAGAACGGATTCCCGAAGACACAATTTACTTACGTAATGCAATATTTAATCTTAAAATTCGTAAATTAACTTGTATACGAAGTATTATTGAAATTTTATAACTTATTAGTACCTAATTATTAATATATCAGATTTAGTTTGAGTATAATAAAAAATCACTATTTTGAAATGTATGACTAAATGCACATTGAATGTGATTGAAATGTGTAGTATATTTTATTCGATTTTTTCAAATTGTGATATTATAGAATGATATACAATCCTTTTAATTTCAATTAGAATTTTATAACATTTTAACTATAATAAATTATAACGGTAATATGACAGTAGTATAACAGTTTAATATAATAGAGGTTTATAAACCGCATTTTCGTGTTTTCAAAATATTCCCAAATTCTCCAAAATGTCAACTATAACAGAAATATTATAACAGTAGTATAACAGTATAATATAATATTATACTGTTATATATCAATTATAAATATAATTAATTAAATATAAATCTGTTATACTTAATCAATTATAACAGAATTTTTATAAAAATTATATTTTTATTTACAAAATGCTCCCAATCATTCCGAAATATTGATATGGTAGTAAAACTTTAATTAAAATATCCTTTTTCTAAATATAAGGATGCAAGAACTAACTCAAAATTCGATTATATTTGAGGACAAAATTTAATACAAAATAACAAGAATTTGATGACATTTATTTTGACATTCTATCAATATTATAAAAATGACAAAATTTTAACGGAGTTTTAAGGTTTTGAAGTGTATTATGTAACCATAATTTGTTTGCAAAAAGCATACTTTATTAATTAGGGCTGTAGGCTATTGAAAGCACTAAATGATTGTCTCCACACACGTACCTACACTTCCAAGTCACTTATATATACTTAATTTTTTAAATGACGTAGCCATGTGATTAAAAATTTGAAGTATGGCGGGACATTTTAATTATTTTAGAATTTTAAACGGAACAGCACCATTCATTAGTGGTATACATAATATTATATATGTATATAATTTCAATTTTAGCGACGCAACATTGACATTGCGTATTATTTTATTATATATGTACTAAAATTTTTTTATAATAAGATCTAATAAGAAAGCTATGTGTATTATTTTTGTTTTAATCAGAAAAAGTAAAGGTTCAAAAAGTTTTATATATAAAAAAGAAATAAACAAATAATTATTACACTTATTTTTTACTACGAGTCTATAGTAAAAATTTTTTTTTATACTTTTCATACTATATACTATGGCATTCATTTATACCGCAAAGTAAGTACAAAGCACGTGCCTTTTGTTATTCTTCCGTGATTTCAAATTCGATGATAATTTTATTTTCATTTCACAGAACTCTTAATAATATTGAAAAGGGGTGTACTCTTTAATAATATTGAAATTTAATATAGAATATTAAGAAGCGATTAGCATTATCTTATACCTGGTTATATAATTAATTATTAACGAACACCTACTATAACTATATATTTTAGTTACTTTGTATAATTATTTGAAAATATTACTGATTTTCAAGAAATAAATTATAAATTAGCATGCTTTCATTAATAGCAGTTTCAATGCAATTAAACATTTATTTTGCATTTATAGAAAACAAAGAATAAAAAAATCTGAATAGGATATTGGAAATTAAAAATTTTTTTCGAGTACTTATTGAAAATATTATTAGAATAAAATGTTATTGATTACGGAAATTCCTCAAATCCTCTATTTACATTGTGTAATATTTTTATTCAAATTCATAAAATCACGTGAATTTATTATTATCAAAGTTAATTTTTGAATAAAATATAAGAGTTGCAATAATAACAATCAATGTTGACAAAAAAATATTTTTTAGCTTCAGAAGATAATGAGATTGAGAAAATTCGAACAATAATTACAACAATCTTCCGTCTGAGATCTTACAAACAATCAAATCAAATTCAATAGTGCAACTATTTTCAATATGCGAAATTTGTTAAAAATTTTCTAAAAACAAAAATAATTTTCCCTATAATACTTCTACTTATATTTCTTTCTTAATTCTGATTAATAAATTATTGGAATATTCTCAATTAATAAAGCTATTTAAATATGGGTGTAGTAATTGTAAGTGTGCATAATTATATATATTATATAATATAAAATGATACACGAGGAATTAAAAAAAGAAAAAATTGTGATGTGCTAATCAATCAATGTAAAATTTTTATCATCTAATTAAATCAGGTTGGGCCATGGATGATTGATTTAAATGAAATATTTATATGTAATGTTGCTCATTTTGAATTCATTCTAGCATTTTGAAATAAAATAAGCAAAAATATTTTTTTGAAATAATTTTCTATATAAAACAAATTTACTTATAGTGGGTGAATAAAGAATTAAGCAACCTCTTGGTAGGGAAATGAATTATTTAATTATATTCTCGTATTGTGCAAAGTAATTGATAACAGACGAACGAGGGCATTTTTTGAACTCAAAAGGAGAACGAAATTTTTTTGGAATCAAATTGAACAAATAGTCTAATACAATAACTATAAGAATATAAATTTAATGAGCATTCTAAAATAGTCGAAATTGAAAGTAATTAATTATGGATTTTTAAAATTAAAGGTTTTTTATAATATTACTAAATAAAACTGAATTCATTCCATCCTCCGGTTTGTGACTAATTCATTGAACTTGATTCAACTTAAATATTTGCTCGTAATTCTTGCGTTCTAGTTAAACCTGACAATATACTGTGACATCAGCTTATGAATAAACTTTATTTACGCCAAATAAGTTTCGTTGATAAATTGTACTACTAAATAATTGTATACGGTTCCCATTTATCTCTTCATTTTAATTTTTACCAGCATAGTATAAAATTATTATTAAATGAAAATATATATATATTTTTTAAAATAACATGAATAGTGAAAAATTTATTATAAATATAGAATTTAATAAAAAAGCAAACATACACAAAATTATTGAAATTTAATTTTTTTTTCTTCAGTGCGAGTTTTAACGTATTCGTTTTTTATTTATTTATGATAACTGATTTAAAAAGTTCATTAATCGTTATTCGAAAAAAAATTATTTTAATACCGAAAAAATAAATTAAAATTATTATTAAAATTTATGAAAAATTTGATTAAATAAAAAAAATATAATGAATAAATATTTTAATTATAAATATTAATTAAAATTAAATTTCGGATTTTAATTTATGCAACTTGATACTTTAATATTTTAAATTAAACTGACAAGTTTTTTTTTCCAAAAATCATCCGAATTTCGGATATGAGTGTTTACATAATCGTAAATGGTAACATAATAAGAATTGTTCTTAAAAGTCAACTACTCATAAAACGACTTAAATTCGTGTTGACAAAATAAAATTAAAAAAATCAATGAATCATTTCTTATTTCCTATTAAATTTCTTTATTTATATATGTATTAATTAAATTAATTATTATATATTAGCATATTATTTATTTAAAAATATAATTTATAAAAAAATTATCTAAGAGATCACCAAAAGAAAAACAAAATTTCTTTTTTTCCACTCAAAAGTCATCGAGATGACAGAGTACATATACTTATTTACATATATGTAACAAAATATGTATTTAATATTAATAATAAACAATACCAAATTAAAAATAATTCACGAATATTATTAATAACTCTTATACAACTAGTGTCATCTCAGTGCTATTCACCATAGTCATTGTTTACATCAAAAGAATCCGAAATATTTGTTTTTTTTAACTATTATTTTTTTTAACGATTCTCATGTGCGCATCATTATTTTCTCAAAAAAAGAAAAAAAACAAAAACAAATTATATTATTAACCTTGCTCACGGACAAAATCTTGTAATACGAGATCATTTTGATCTCGAAAATCTCATAATTCTTATTTAAAAAATAAACAACACGTTTTTGATTTTATTTCTTTTTTTATTTTTAAATTAATTTTTTTCTTTTATTTTAATTCACCTTTTCTTGTTATAATTCTTTTCTTCTTATTAATCCAAAAAAAAAAAAAAAGAAGGCAAAATTTAATCCCTAAAATTGAATTTCTTAATTCTCCAACAAAATCTTTGAATCACACTGTAAATAATGAAAAAATTTTAAAGTGAAATTCTTTTACTCTTTTTTCTTTATGATTTCTTTTTTAGGTTTTTTTTTTACAATATCGAATAACAACCAGTTAGATTGAAAGTTGAACGTTAACTGAATTAAAAATTTATTAATTTCACAATCTTATACTAAAATAAATCAAGAGACTGCTTGACCACTCAAAAAAAAAAAAAGAGAAAAAAAAATTTTAGCAAAAAATCAAAAATTCAAAATTTTTTTTATTCAAATTCTTTTTCGATGCTTAAACTTATGGTAGAAGATTTGATTATTCTAAACTTCTAATATGGGTTACACACTTATTTCAAGTATCACAGTATAATATGGTAATTGTTATACAGATCGTGTAGAAGATTAGTAGATCATAATCTGTAAATTTTAAATTCAGTTTAGGTTGCTTCATAAAAATAATTTGGTTTTTAAACAAAATGAGAACATATGTGACATTTTATACTCATAAAATGAGTATTAAATTAGAAATTAGAACTCTTAGTTTTAGTAAAACTAATTTGTCAAAATTATGTTGCTAATCGACTTTCTTCTTCATTTCCAATTATATTTCTAATTTTATTGCCGGAATTTTCTCAATTTACTTAAATTTGTAATATTTATCGGTTTAATCTGACTTTTTCAACAAAATTGTGAATAAATTTGACATTATTTATAATTTCACTCAATATTATACAAGAAAGAAGTGAGATACGTAAGATATTTTTCACTTGTAAAATAATGCATAAATTAAATGAGTAAAATTTTTCAATATTACATCTGAAAAAAGAAAAACCGTTTATTTTTCGATTACTTAAATTATATTCGAAAAACCACAATATAAATTTTTGGTATTCGATTTTGGTAAATTCTAAAAAATTTTATTAAATTATAAAAATTTTAAAAATTTTGCATAAAAACCAAAAATATTTTTTTTTCTGATACCATCACTCATAGGTCACCATAGCAATTAGACCACTTTTTTCGAACTTTAATTCGAAACTTAGTTGAACATCTCTTTTAATATGAAATTTTAACAAATTGAATCATTTAATTATATTAAAAAAAATTGTAGAAAATTATTGTAGACACTAAAGCTTTTAAAATTTAAATAAAAATTTCCATCTCATTAATAATTTAATTTCGTAAATAAATTAATAAGCTTGTAACATTCAACAATATTTAAAATAAACCCCTAATTTACATTTTAATTAAAATATTAATAATAGTTAATGACAATTTGTAAGCGGTTCTTAATTTCTCTTTGAAATAAAATTAATTTTAAATTCTGTTACTAGTTGTTTAAAGGTTAAAATTTATAAAAAACAAAAACCCTCAATCATTTCTCAATATTGCTATTTAATCAGAAATAGTGTGAATATGCGTTAACGTTCTAGAGTCTAAAAGGGATTATGTGGCAAACATATACTTACCATCGAATTCAGATCCGGAATTAATTTATATTTTTAATAGATCGTAAAATAATACGCAATTAAGTCTATAATATTGTCCTATTATAGTAGATCTAAATATTTTATAAAAATTATAAATTTTAATTTATAGTATAAGTACTTTACCAAAAATGAAACTTCCACACCTACACTATTAATAAAAAAAGATAGTAATGAAAGTATTCTCCATCAATCATAATTATTTCAAAATTCGATTAAAATTTGAAAAAATCTTTGACAAGATCATAATATTTATTATGAGATTTAGCGAATAGCTCTTAATAAAAATCTATTTTAAATATTAGATATTAGAAAATGTTAAAAAAAAACCTGTTAATTTAAAGTAAAAATTTTTTTTTAATTCTACAAGAATTTCGTGAATAAATAATATGGTAATATTAAATTACGATATGTCTATGTGTTATATTCATGTATACAAACCTATATACTTATATTATATAAGTATATAAAATTAAAGACGTGTTTTATTGATTTTCAATCTAGAAACAAAAAAAAAACAAAAGCTTATTGTAATGTTATAAAAATATTCCAAATACATTAAATATAAAATTAATTTAATTTTGATCAAAAGTTTTATTATCTTACTGGCCAATGACTTTTTCTTATTTCGGAAACAAATTCTTAACCAAAATAAAATATTTTTTTTTATATCCAAGTGATAGTACAAAAGGTATAATAAAGTTGACTTTATATTTGTAATACTGAAAAGAAGAGATTACTAGACGAGAGATATACATCATCATATTATAATTAGTAAAATTTTCGTTATTAGTATATCAGCAAATTTAGCTACTTTTTCATTCAGATAAGCTAAAATTATAAATGATAACTAACAAAAATGAATTTCCATTTTTACTACTTAACAACTTCATTTATGATAGCATTTTCAATTTAAGAACGATGAGCTTCTTATGGAAATTAATTCCTAAATTCTATTTATACCGCTTATTATACCTGATCAGCTATGATATACCTCTTATTTTCAGTTCTAACTTGCTTTAATTTTATTCAGCCGAATTTGCACTTAATGTCCTACCATTTTGTCTAATCAACATTAATATTATTTCATATATGTATATATATTTTGTTTTTTATTCAAATTTAAATATGAATCAAAATATCAACTAGTTATATACCTATATAGTTATAATGGTTTTTAGGATTGCCACTTGAAATTTACTTGAATTACGTAACCTATAACAATAATATTCTGAATGATTTATCACAATTAATTAATTATTTTGTGCAAAATTTCATTTTATATATTATATATATTTTTGTATGTATGATTGCATATATTAATACATGTTTTAACCGGAATATGTGAATTGTATAAAATAGGAATTGAAGCACATAATTTATTTTTGGTTAAAATGATTGATTTAAAATTGCCCTGCTTAAAAAAGAGTAAAAGAATTTTAAAAATATTCTTATACAACAAAATATTCAATACCCTTTAGAAATGTCTCTTAAATGCAATTTATGAAGTAAAATACTTTAAAACGACCGTCTTACTCAATTAGACTTTTCACTTATTTAAAAGACAAATTTTGCAAGACCCTTAGATAAAATTAGTCTTAAACAACTTACTATAAAAGACATATAAATTTTACAGAATTCTGATAACTCTTAAAATCGTTATCAAATTAAAATTATTAAATTGAATTTTTGAAGTTCGTCTCTAGAATAAATAGAAAGCTATCTTGTTCCAAAATAAAAGCAAATTTTAAGAGCACTACTTTTTAAAATTAATCATAAAATTATTAGGAAATACCTTAAAACTCAGCAATTTTTAAACTATTACAATTAAAATCTTACATATAATATTTTCAAAAATCCTTGTATTTAATCATTTAATTCTTGTATTTTCATATTATATACAAAAAAAATTTAATAATTTTACATTCATTTTACATAATAAATTTTATAATTTTTGATATAAGACTTAATTTGTTTTTTATATTTTTTTTGTTTTAATTTTAATACAATAATTATAATTAGTATGTAAATTATAATAATAATATAAGTAAATGTATATGATAATATTATAAAGATTTGATCTTATATATGAAATTTTACATTAATAAAAAGGCATAGTATAATAATATTTATATAAAATGCAATAATTTTTTATTTTATTCTATTCGAATATTTAAATTTTAAAATATATAAGTAGATATATATTGACACGGTGTTTTTTTTTTTTTATTTTAAGTAAATCTGATAAAAATTTTTTTTGTACACTCAATGAGTGGATTTTGATTTTAAAAAGTTTTCTAGTTTTTTTTTTATATTTTCTAACGAAATTAATAAATTATAAATGAAAATGAAAATTCATAGTGTATACAATTCAAAATATTTCTTAAATATGAAGTTATATTCACTGTTGTTGAATTTAATTATCAATTGAAGCTAGTATTTTCATTTTAATCAATTTCACCTAGACCGGATATCAACACCTCAATTTCTACCTCAATTTCATTTTAATACTTCAATATAAATTTAATTTGCAAAAATCTTTAAATAAAATTATAAAAAAATATTAAATTGATAAAACATACATTTTATTTAAATAAATAAAATTGCTAAAAGAATAATTATTATATTGTACAAAGGAGGTAAATTGAATTTTAAAGGCGATAAAACGTTCCATTCCAATAATATCAAGAACTTTTATTTATGTAATAGAAAAATATAATTACATATTCTGTAGTTAATGTTAAACGCAAATATTTATATTAAGTAGACAAGAATTTAGTGTTATATTAACTACATAATACATAGTAATTTTTATATAATAATTTTATTTGTTTTACTAAGCATTACTGTTGTAACATTACTGAACTACTGTTGTAAGCATTACTGTTGTAACATTTGAAAATATACTGTTTTCTATGCTGATTTATTTCAAATAATTTTGCCTAATACACACAATGCTAAAAATAATTCTAAAAAAAAAAAAAAATTTTAATAAAGTTATAAATACTTGATGTACATATTATGTAAGAAATCATAAATTATTTGATATTTTTAATTCTAAGATTCAAGAAGATCATGATCGAATTTGGATTTTCTCATTACGCAGTTTACATTTGTATTGTTAGCTCTTAAACGAAAATAATTTTAACAGAAAAAAAAATACTGCTGTAGTAACTTTAAATTTTATATCTATTGCAAGTTACAATTTTTCAAAATTGTAAAATTAAAATTTTAAAAATGCAATGCATTTTGAATAAAATACAATATTAGGAACTTGTATAATAACAGCATTAATGCCTTGTGTTAAAAACAGTACAGTAATGTCATCATACAAATATAACATCATATCATAAAAATCACTATGTTTATATTGTTAATTATATCAAAATGTAATTCGAATACAATTTCTAAATTAATCTTAAAATATTACATATACATAATATATAATATTAATAAAATTGAATATCTAATATCTAAATATTTTTTTAACATTTAAATAATTTTAAAAATTTTCAAATGCAAATCAATACAATTAGGTACGATTAAAATATGAAGGTACATTATACTGATTAATATATTATATAAATATAATAAAAATTTATTAAAATATGTAAGTATATGAATGTGTAAATGAATAATTTCAATTATACAATATAAATATATAATATAGTATAGTTTCTTTTAATTTTTTGTTTTAATATTTTAGGAATAAAAGACACAGTTTTCATCAACAATAACATATATATTTATGTATATACACATAGATATATATATACACACTAGTTTAATAATTTATATTATAATATATAGTATATATAGTCTTAAAAAATAAGGAAAAAGGCAACATCGATATTGAGATTACTTTAAAAAATACATTTTTTCTTCTCTTTTTTTTTTTATATTTTATTTCATTACAATCAATTTCTGCGCACCATTTCTATTAAAATATTAAAAAAATATTCTAAATGCCCTGATTTTAGGAGATTTTTAAAACCGTAGTTTCTTTATACATACATATAAATTTTTAAATTTTTTTCATAAAATAAAAATAAATATTTATAAACATTATTATTAATATTAAATTTTTGAACGTTTCATACCTACTACATACAATACATTCGTAAATTAAAAATATAATATGTTTATATAAGTGTATTTATTTCAAAGTTTTGATTTTAATGATGGTGGATCTGGTAACAGTATATCTCTCCACCATGATGGTCTTGAAAAAGCATTCGGATTTGTCATTAGTTCATGTTGTAGATTTTGATATAATAATCCATCAGATTTTGCGATTGCTAAAAATTAAATAGTAATTTAAAAAATTAATTGAATTTTAAAATTATATTGTTGTTTTCAATAATATAGCTATTGTGAATTTAAAATTTGTATTTTAACATTTAAATTTTATTTGAGAAAATTTCAAAAAAATATTGCATAAGTTTAGGAGAACTATTTTAAAGCAAAAATTTATTTTTAAGTACAACAATACTATGTTGTCATTAATATTTTTTATATTTACCTGAATTTAATGCAAAATCTGGTGGTGCAATTGAATCAGCAACTGATACAGCAGAATTTTTAAATTCTCCACATTTTTCCAATAATTTTGAACGTATTAAATCAACAAATTTTGTTGGATTTTTAGCAAATGCACCTTGACAAAATGATGTCATATGTTGATCAATTATCCAATATGAATAAATAAGATAAATTAATTGTAAAACTTCTTTTAATTCCGGTGTTACATCCGGTTTATGAAAGCGTGTACGAAAACTACATAATGCAACATATTGTGGATAAGCTCGACATATATCACGTGCTGTATATACTTGTGAATTATTTTTAGCATCAAATCTATGTGCACCATTTGAAACAAAATTACGAATTTTTGATGCTGTTTTATCCAAAAGATAACATATAAGCCATTCAAAACATTCAATTGGAACTGTTAAAATCGAAAATAAGAAAAAAAAAGAAATATGTTAATTTTTTAGTTAAATGTGAGGAATTGTATGTTTAAAGAAATTTTGTTTCAATTACATTCCATTGATTCAACTGGTGTTACTTTTATAATATCTTCAAATTTACGCCTTAATATATCTGTACGATTTTTCAAAAAATTTGCAGTACCAAGTGGACTTTCAATTTTATCATCCCATTGTTTAATAAGCCAATTGGAAGCTTGCTGTTGTAATACGTTATTATCACCTTCATATGTAACCGATGCATCATGATTATTACGTAATTCACCTAAATTAGAAATTTTCAAATAGCCATGACCACCACATGCTTCACGTGACTAAAATTAAAATTTAGATAAGTTTTAGTTTTCAAAATATAAATTTTCATAAAAAAAAGTAGTGAATACTTCTTGTATTGCATCCCTTGCTGTCCATGTCAGCAATGGTTTCGATGATGAAATAATAGCATGAAATTCACCCACCAATTGACTCTAAAATTAAACAATAATTTTAAATAAAGATAGGGTTGAATTATTTTAATCAATTAAAAAAAAACATAATTAATTCCAAATTGATTCAAAATCATATTTACATAAATTTTAGGAAATTATTGATCTGAATAATCAAGTAAATATCCATAAATTTAAGAAGAAAACAATTTTATACGCAAGAACATATTATATAAGTTTTCTTATTGGCTTCACTGTAACTAAGAGAATTAAGCATCTAATTAAATAAAAAGCAAAGAGATCGTAAATTTAATAATATAGACATAAAGAATATGACTTTATAATATTATGGGTCTATAATAACACCCAGCTCAATAAAATTACATACAATATTACTAACAATTGTGATTATTAACAATTATTGGTAAATTAAAATTACACAGAATTAAAATAATACGATTAAAAGCAATTATTATGAAAACGATATTTGTTAAAAAAAACAATAACGTAAGTTATTGCAAAAAAAGCGATAACAGGTGAACATATTTCTTAATCTATATACAAACATCAATATATACATACAATAATATTATATCTTAAAACTGATATCGATCTTATCAACAAAGAGAATTTTGTAATTCATACATAGTAATAAAATTATAAGAACGCTTTTAAGATATTTTTTTTGAAGAATTTAAGAATTTTTTTGAAATTCTTTTCTCGTGATAAGTGAAAAATGAATTCATAAAAGAAATCCCGCAAAATTTTTCATTGAAAATAGAAAATTTTCTAACTTCTAACACTGAAATTTTATGAGTAATTCCTAGAAAGTTCACACCTTAAAGCTGCAAACATGAATTATACAATGCGGAAAAAAATTTACAAAATTATTTCAAATACTCAGATAAAATTTTATAAAAAAAGAAAGTACCATTATTATATTTGAGTTTAAGAAGAAAGAAAAAATCAATTTAAAATTTAGACGCTATTTAAAACCTTAAAAAATTTCTCTTAAATGATTTTGACTTTAGTTAGTATGTGGTTTTAAATTTTGAATTAATAGCTTTAGCTAAGGAACATATTATGAAACCGTATTTATGTTTTGTATAGTCCTCCATAAAAGAATTCAAAATTTTGGTTACCAAATATTTTAGTGCACCTAAGTCTACAGTATAATTATAGGCAAAATTGAATAAATTTAAAAACCACAAACCTAATAATTTGCATTTGATTTTAAAATTTGCAAATCTAAATAGAAATTAAAACTATAAATTTAATATTCCTTTGAATTCTAATCAATTTATTCTATTTTTTTTTTTGGATACTTAATTAATTTAATTAAAAACTGAACACGCGATCATAAAATATTGAAAAAATTCTATTCCTCAATTTAAATTCAATATGTGATTATTGCCTAAACTTTTCGGTAACCCTAGAATATTAATTTGTGCAATTATTTGAGAATAGGTACAAAATAATTTGCATAAATTAAAGGTAAATTTTTTTTTTTGTTAATAAGTAAAATCAGACTTACGAATACTTCAAAAGCATTCGATTCCGATTGACAATCTTCAACAGTCTTTAAATATGTACCACTTATTTGAACAGCAAATACCCTTAATACACATGCAGCCGCAAGATATGGAAAAATTCGCCATTGCTAAAATAATAATTTAATATTAAATCCTGTGATTATAAATTTCTTTTAGTATATTTAAACTTGCATGTAATTGATATTCGATAATTGGAACTTCTGGACCATTTCTTTCGTGTCCAAATTGCCTGAAATTAATATTTTTTTTTTGTTAATTAGTAAGCTTAATATATGACAAGTTTGCTTAATATTGAATTTTTTTAAGGGAATGCAACTAAATTTTAAAAATTAATGTTTAATTTGTTTGAATTTACTATAAATTATTTACTTACTTCCTAAGTGCTGCATAACGTACAGCAATTACAGTTGCTGACGATAAATTATTAACTGATTCTTGTATAATACCTAAACGTGCAACTGATAAAGTTTCTAATGCTGCACCTAAAGCTCTACTTGGTTCCATAAGAACTGTTTCATAAGAACCTTCTGGTGTTACATCTGCAATTCTATTTAATAAATTCTCTCTTGGTATACGATAATTAGAAAACATCATAAAACCATTATCAACACCATTTAAACCAATTTTTTCACCCATATCACCAACAATAACACCAGGATATGCCATTAATGTTTTTGGATTTCGTATTGGTACTACAAAACCATGTAAACCATGATTTATACCATCAGCTGTATATAAATTTGCGAATGTTAAACAAATTGTCGCTGTTTTACCCAAATTACCGATCCAACATTTTGCTGCTTCAAAATCTGGTGTATTTATAATAAATTCTTGTGTAATTGGATCATATGTTGCGGTTGTACGAATATTTTTTGTATTACTACCATGTGCTACTTCAGTTATTGCAAAACATGCAACAATTTCACGATTCCATGCTGCATTATAATATTTTTTATGCCTTTCAGTACCCATTGCCGATAATGAATTTACAAATAAACTAACACCTAATGCAATTTTTACTGATAAATCTGATGAATATGAATAAAGTGCTTCATCAGTACTCATTAAAAATTTTGTACGATCTCTATAACTGTAGTTAATAACATCTTTTGGAATAATATCTAATTCAGTTAATTTATTAACTTGCATTGCTGCTAAACGTTTCAGTTCATCAGTTGATAATGTATATTTTGCCTTTGAAAATAATGGATCATTTTCTAATAGTTTCCAAACTCTATACTGTATAAAATAAAATAAATTTATATTGTATTAAATTGTATTTTGAATAATTCATAAAAATTTTTAATAATTACTTTAATTTTAACTGAAGCCTCTTCATCTAATATTAACATTAGCCTCTTCCAGTTAAATTTTGCTTTTTTTCTATATTCATTAAGTGGTCCCATTGGTAAATCCGGTATAAAGTTTGTATCAATATCAGGACTAATTGAAGCCATTTTGAATATATATCAGGTTTATCTGTGAAATAAATAATCTTAGTATTTAATTAAGACTCGTTGCTTATAACGAACTGAAACATTATTCTTATTTTCATAAAACTGTAAACTCAGTTAAAAGTTACATGATTTGAATTTGAATAAATAACTAATATCGAAGGTATTAGAGCATTAAAACCTCATTAAATATTTGATTAAACCATTTATTTAATTGAAATTGCTAACAAATTCACAGCCTTTTTATTTATACAAAAACATGACATATAAAAATTTCTGAACTATTAATTTATAATAAAAATTATTATAATTCTATAGGTACAAGCAATAACTTCTTAACTCGAGTATATTATAGTTCATTATTTTATTGCATATTCATATTTCAAACGGTTTTGAGTATTCAGATATCATTTGATAAATGCATATCTTGGTCTCAGCTCAGAAATCATATGGATAAATAAAAAACTACAATTTTTCATCGGACATAAATTCAAATTACTCGGAACTGAAGAATTATTCTCTAAGCATAATTTTTAATAATTTTGTTGATTAACGTATCTTACCCACATTCTAAAATTTTTGTATAATTTTTGGTTAAGAGTTTTGATTTCATAAAAAATTTACTTCAAATAATTTAAAAGATATATGAAATAAAATTGTAAAATAAATGCACAGGCTGCTAAATATTTGCAATAGCAACATTCCTTAGTTAAATATTCCAGAAAATATTAAAATGTACTAGAGAACTTGGATAAATCCCATTGAATTATCAGGCTAGTTATAAATTTATTATTTATTAATTAATCAAATGTTAAATATTTTTAACCTAAAATCAATAAAATATAAACTAAATATGATTGCTCGTATATCGAAACGTTTTTATTGCTTACAAAGATTACTAACAAATGTTAACCCCAAAACGTACAATAAAACCAATTCATATACCTACTTATATAATAATTTCATTAATTAAATCAGAATTTCGTTTTATTTTTTTCAAATAAGTTCAATATTGTTAACTGGTTATTAAGCTGATTAATTGTGTTGATTAAATACTAATATTTAAACATATAGGGTATTTAATATATAATTCTTTAATATTTTAATGCAGGTGGTATGAGTAAATTATCACTTACATTTATTGATATAAAAAAAAATACATGACAAATATTACAATTTTATACATGCAATTACACAAATAAAATTGATAATTATTTCTTTAAATGGGTAAAAGGCTTTAAGTATAATCAAATAAAAATTTTTTAACTACAGACATACATGAAAATCATGTTCTTCTAGTTCTATGGTATGTACTGATAATGTTAGTATTTTTCACTAACTATTGTGGCATGTATAGTACTTACTTTTCACTAACTACTCTATCACGTGTGATACACATTATACGTTTGGGAAAAATTACCAATAATTTTCATGACAGCAGGAAATTTCACTTTTAAATTACACATACTATTTCAAAAAATCATTTTCAGACTTACACACAAACATACATCTGTACTAACACCTGTAGTCGAATTTACATTAATTGCTAATTAGAAGCATTAATAATCATAATTAAGTAATGCAATGCAAATTATTAATCATTCGGTTCGACTTGTAATAATTACATTATTATAGATCTGTATGTAGATAACATTTGCACGTGCATTAATTTAAAATAATAATGAGGTAAAATATCTAAAGCCAAAAGTTTTATAATGCAATTCATTGCCAACTCAGATTGAAAACAGCACACATTCAACACGGCATCCTGAATAAATGCAAAAGGGCTTTATTTCTGAATTTTAATTACTACAAATTTTCTATGCTTTTATTTTTAAATTTTATATAAGTATTTGCTGTTACATTTCGGTAAATTTATAATTAATTTTATTATAAACTAATGAATATTATTTAAAAATAATTGTTATTAGCACATAAAATGAAAACGATCAAATTAGAATTATTTAAAATATACTTATATAAATATAATTAATTTATTAATTCAAATTTAATTTCAATTTATTGTCTTTATACGTTGTGCACCTTATTTGATTATTTTATTTAATTTAAATAAAAATAAATAGTTCTAAAATGCAAAATGGTAAAAAAAATGTAAACGTTTCAAATAAAATTAACAAATTAATAGTACCTTAATGTACATAAATTAACAAATTAATTTATGTACATCACATACATACACACAATATATTATATAATAATTATGCATACATGTATTTCATACATTTTGTATAAAATACCGTTCGCTCACACAACTAATATAATTAAAAATTGTATAGTAAATAATGAACTAAAGATACCGGCCGGTATTTTTAATCTACTAAAACAACATTTAATTACTATTTTCTGAGTATCATACAATTTTATTTCTCTTTTTTATTTTTATTTATAACTAATACAGTAATTGTTCGTATGTATGTTAAAATTAAAACTGTGTATTATTAAGATTTCTAAACAAATAATTTAATTTGAGCATTTGACATTACGTTCGTAACAATAAAATTAATTATAGTTTTTTTTTTCCATCAATAAAATAAATTTTTAATATTTTCTGATATAAAAGTAAAAATTTCGAAAAAATAAAATATTTTAATTCTTAAAAACAAAAATTTTTATATTTCAAAAATCAATTTGAACTTGAGTTCAGATAACTATAGTATTCGAAGCAATATTGAGTTTAGATGTGTGAATTATCCCCTTACTAGCGCTAGAGATTTTCAACTGTTTATATAAAAAAAAAAACAATACAAACCTTGAATTAAGAGATCAGGCAAGGTTTGTTATAAGCATTTTTGCATCAATTAAAACTAATTTCGGAGTAACTTTAAGATTTTCTGAGTCCTCATAGAACATTTTGGGAATATTCGATTATTTTGTTCAAAAACATGTTGAATAATAAAATTAGAGAATGCCTAAATATGTATTGTATATTGGGGGAGTATTTTTAATATATACAAACAGGAATTCAACTAAGTAATATTCGGAGTAAAATTAATATATTCGGATTTGGCCTGCATTTCAGTTTTTTTTTTTTTAATTTAAATCAATTTATTAAAAATAGTTCAAAATTTAGTTATTAAGGTTTTGGTACGAATTATACGAATTGTATTCAAATGAAAAGAGAATTCGATATAACACTAGAATATTCGAAGTATGTAAGTAATTGGTAATTATCAGATAACCTGATCAGGGGGGACAATAAACATTTAATCATTCAATATGTTGAAACTTGAGATTTAATTCTAATTTTCGAAGAAACTTATTACCTTAATATCTTATAGTGTACTTATCAACGGCTTATATTCTAATTACAAAGTATCATAAGCTTTTGAGTAAATATCATAAAATTGCACCTGGATAATTGTTAAATAAATAAAAGTAAATAGAAAAATAATAATGAAAAAATAAAATATATAAAAGGCAACACAAAAAAAAAAATTAGAAAGAAAAAAATCATTTGAAACAAAAAAAAATTTTTTTTTACTATAGAAGCCACGTGACACTCACTCCGTAATCTAAACCAAAGTAAAATTTTATCAAAATTAACTGTAAAAAATTGCTGTTGTTGTTATTGCTGTTATTCGTCCCATTTTATTTTATTATTTAGTTGTCTCTTTTTCTATAATTTTCACTTTTTATGTGTGATTTTCTTGTCATTGAGATAGGAAAAGGCATGACTGCCTGAGTAATAAATGGTTTTTAAAAAATTTTCTTATTCAAACCAAGTTGATTTCAATATTGTTAACACTATAATAAAATTGTCAACGTTTTTTTTTTTTTGATTTTTTTTTTATTTTATTTTGCCAAAAATGAAAATGAACACGATAATTATATAGAACTAGTTTTTTTTTTTCAATAGAAATAAGAAAATCAAACAAAATTTTATAAACCAAGGTCGAGCGGTCTTTTAATTTTTGTTTTTGTTTTAAATTAATGAACAAAATCAGGTGAACAAGTTTGAATAAAAGAGTTGTAGGCATTAATATGAATGTAAATTTTAATTTTTTTCTTATTTTGGAATATTAGCAGTCTTTGTATTCTAATTTGAATAACTTGTTTTTGACTCAAATAATCTTTATAATATTATGGAAAATTTGGTAGGTAGAAATAGAGAATTTTGGCAAATTTTATATAAATAGTGCCATTAATTTAAAACCATTAAAAATTTGAATTATTGTAAGTTATTGAAAAATTTTTATTATACAATTTCTATGGTTCTCATAAAAAAGTTTACAAGAAAATTCTGTGACTTACGCAACAGATTGTTTTAATTCTGACCTTAATTTTTGTTTTAATTACTTATTTGATTTACAAAGCAAGAGAATTAAATTAGAAATAATTAAATTCAAACAAGAATCTGATGTGATTAGCAAATATTCGACCGCAAAATGTGTTTGCGATCGAAAACGATGAATATCTTGCACAAAATTATGAAAATGTCCTTTAAAAACTGCCGGCCTCGAAAACTGAACCTGTTCAAACTCAAAATAAAATCATATTTATTTATAAATTTTCATGAAAATCTCTTAAGCCGAAATTAAGATACACGACAGCAAACATAAACTGACAGACCAACATATCTCACTGAAAATAGTTTATTTACGTTTTCCAACTATAGAGAAATGTATTTTTCCCGAAAACTCCACGTGAGAAAGCTTATTTTAGCAAAATTATTTGATTGTAGATTAATATTACAAAATTCAGAAAATCTATACGTTCCTTTTGAAATTATTAATTATATTTAATTCTATAGAAGGGCTCAAATCACGAAATGATATATACATCTTTAAAGTACAAGAAAATAATTTTTTTTATGGGTTCCCTTTAATTTTTCAAGAAAATTGTATATAAGTATGTGTGTAAATAAAAAAAAAATATTTGTATGTAGATTTTTTTGAAATGCTAAAAGATAACAAATACGTTCCCATATAAACATGTCCTCCATATTCTTATATTACAATTATTATATACCCTTTGGAATTTCGTATAAATTATATTGTATAAAAA